CTGAAAGAAATCTACATTACATATAATATGTAAGAATAGTTGGCATTTGTGGATTGAATTAACACTATTCAACTCGATGGTGAGAAGAGTTTTTATTTTTAACCTACAACACCTAATTTTGTTTGAAAAAATTAAAATGAGTTTCGAATTTATTTCAAAATTTGGACGTACGCAATTTGCATTCATTTCAATATTTTAATTATGTATTAGCTCAATTAAACTAAAATAGATCAATTTTTCATAGTTTTAGGTTTAATTCGATTCAAAGCTGGTGTTAAGAATCTAAAGCTCAATAATGAAGTCTAAATGCTAAGGCTCATTAGAAATTGATTGGTTTTATTTTTAATTTATTTTTTCCTTAATAAAACTTAAGAAAAAGTAAAAAAAAAAAATAGTAGAATGTAAAGAACTGAAGTCCAAGTTCCAACCGTTAGCCACCCTTACATTCTATTGCCAGCCATCTAATAAGTTGAAAATAAAGAATATAATTCTTGAAATTAAAAGATTTGGTCTTTGTTTGAATTCTATAAATTGTAGTTAAGAGACATGAATAATGGAGAAATTCACAATAGGAAATAACGGATAAGAAAAAAAACATAGTAGCATATTAATTATATACAACATTTCTTATGTCAGAAATGCAATTTTTGACTTGAAAATATACAAACATGGTGTTTAATAAAAGACTATGTTTATAAATTTACAAACGTAATCTTTAATATAAAGATGGTATTTTCTCCTTAAAAAATGTCATATTTGAAATGCAAAAAAAATTCATAAAAAGTACATTTACAATCTTAAAAATGCAACCTTTGACTTGAAAATATACAAACCTAATGTTTAATCAAAGAGTACATTTAGAAATATACAAACATAGTCTTTGATATAAAGACGACGATTTTTCCTTGAAAAACATTGTTTTTAAAATGGAAAAAAAAATTATTGAAAACTATGTTTATAATCCTAGAAACACAGCCTTTGTGCTTTGTCTATAAACTTTATAGAACCATTCAAAAACCTAAAATCAATTTTAAAGGTAGTAAAGGATAAACCCTAAATGCCAAAACAATTTAGAAGTTGATTTTGGGTGAAACAGAAATGAAAACTTTGACTAAAGCTCTATGATATTGTCTGAAAAGAGAAAGTATGATATTGTCTAAAAAGAGAAAGTAGTCTTTATTATTTAAAAAAGTGATTTTTGTTATTTAACAAATACGGTATTTCTTATGTTAGAAATAGAGTCTTTGTATTTTTAAAGACTATGTATTGACATAAGAAACGTAGTCTTTGTTGTTTAAAAAAATGTTTTTTAATTAATTATCAAATACTACGTTTTTTATGTTAGAAACATGGTCATTGTATTCTTAAAGACTATGTTTTTGACATAAGAAATGTGGTATTTGTTATTTAAAAAAATGCTTTATTATTTAACAAAAATTATGTTTTTTTTATTTTAAAACATAATTTTTGTTTTCTTCAAAAACTATGATTTTGACATGAAAACATGGTCTTTGTTTTGAAAACTATGTTTCTAAATAAAAAACATAGTTAAAAGTTTCTTAAATATGTTTATTTTTAAGGGTAAATAAAACTGAAAAAATTTGTTATTATGGTCAAATGTGAGATAAAATTAACTTTTCTCTCAAAGTCTTAAAAATAACCCATATGAAAAAGTGGATTTCTAATTCTGAGACATTTGGGTACTATTGGGGATATAAAATTACTTACAAAAATTAAATACCTATAAACCAAATGTGATAATCACATTCTCATAAGCAAGATTTTGAGGAAAAATCTCATATTCTCCAAAACCAAATGACCTATAAAATATTTGTTTCAATCAATTATAAGTCATTTAGCAATAAAAATTAGATTCCTAACCTAACCATGAATGAAAAAAAAAACAGTCCAAAGTAGTTTAAGTTTACTCAAATTCTAATTTTTAAATAAAAGATAAAAAGTTGAATTTATAAATTTAATTTGATATTTGGGTGAAATTGGGTACATGTAGTTATAGATCTTAATGTGAATACATTATTAATTATATTTAATTATATATTTATTTTTATGTAATATAATCATAAATATAAAATATATTGGATTAGAGCTTTAAATGTTATGTTTAGAGCTTGATCCATTTAGAAATTTTTTTTTAAAAAATAAAAACTAATATAGTTATGTATACATTTATAATTATTATGTTAGTAATGTATATATTAAAATATATATATATAATATGTTAAATGCATATTAAATGGGTATCAAAATTTTTTATATCTTTTAAATCAGCAATAATTTTTTATATTAGTAATGTATATATTACATATATATAAAATTTAACATATTAATTATATATTGTTCTTATAACTTTTTATAATAAGATTAAAAACCAGCTTTTCATTAAAAAAATTTAGAAGGACAAAATATGCACTTAAGGGGCGTTTGGATCAAGGAAAATTCATAAATTTTTTTTCGAAATCTTAATGGTAAGTATTTGATTCTTACTTTTAGTTTAAGATAATCCGATTATGGGGAAAATGACAAATTTCTAATAGTACCAAAAGTTTTGGAATTAAAAACTCACTTTTTTCTTTTGATATTTTAAAATTTCAGATGAAAAAATTACATTATTTTTAAATTTAACATGAATAATAAATTATGAAATAATCGTTATTTTTTTGAAAAGTATGTTTGGAAGTGACTGTAATTCAGTTGTATATTTTTCTGTTAAATTTTTTTTTTATTATAGGTAATGGCATTTGACATTAAGAAATGCTTTAAATTATCATCAAATATGATTTTTTTTTAAACGTTTCAAACAATCATTACCTCAATTATTTAAGGTGTTTTTTTTAATTAAAACGCTTTAATTGATAATTTAAAATAAATCTAAATTATTTAAATTCAAAATTATTCAACTTTAAAAATTTAAATTAACTTGATTTAAGATTAAAATTTAGTAATTTAGACATGAAATAACTTAAATATATAATAAATCCAAATTCTTTCAATCCAAAATTACTCAATCTAAAATGATCCGACTCAAATTCACTAGTTGAATTGCTACCTCTATTAACAATCTTGCGCTAATCACAAATTATTTCTATAATTCCTTTGGTTAAAACATAGGGAAAAGGGCGGGAACTTGTGATTTGTCGCAACTCACAAGAGGTAGATGCCCAATGGGAAAAGGCGGTTGGCCCAAATAGAGATGCAGGGAGACCTGGTCAAACAAAACATCATTGGCTTTTTAATTAAAAAAAATAACTAAATAAGAGAGGGATTGATCCAAGGGCTAAGCATGTAGGGTGGAGTAAATATAGAGTAAGGTGAGCCATAGATACGAGAGGTGCAACCGCACTACACCTTTTCATTTACTATTATTTAAGGCGTTCCTCTTATTTTTCAAAGGGTTATTTAAAATTTTTTTTGAAAAATATTTTAAATAATTCTTTTAAAAAATGAAAGAAACTATTTAATATATTTTTTAATCAAAACTACTTTAAATAATTTATTTAAGGTATTTTTGATTAAACAATATTTTAAATAATCTTTTTTAAAATGAGTTATATATGTTAAGGAGATTATAATAATTATTAAATATTTAATATATGTAAATCCTCCTAAACCAAATAAATAAATCTAAATAAGAAACATCTTGAAAATTGAATAAAATCCTATATATCACACTTTTGTGATGATTATACCTTTTTTTAGAATCCAAAATTTTACGAATCAAATATCCCTTAATTGTTAATAGCAATTAATATCTAACAATATGATCATATAAATATACAAGAATATATTATAATGATAAGAAATAACATTTATAATGATAATAAATTATGTGATCATCTTAATAATATGAATTATGATATGTGATTATTTTAAATTATAAAAGTTAAAATAAAAAAAGTATACATTTGAAATTAAAAATAATACATATTCTAAATAATATATATAACAACAAAATTATATAATTTATTCTATATTATATGATACGATATTATTAAAACATAACTTATAAATTATTGTTATTTTTTGAATATTCAGAAGCTGGTAAGATAGTATGCTTTAGATTAGATATGATGTTTGATGATATATATCTATTATCTATTTGTGTATTTTAGTATTATTTGTACATGTTAGTGTTATTTGTACTTTTTCATGTATGCTATTGTTATCAATGCTGTTTATGCTAGTTGTGTTATGATATGTGTAATATATATAATAAATATGTCGTATTTATATTTGAAATTAAATATGTTTTATAATTTATATCATGTTTATATTTTAATAATTTTTATCATTATGCATATTAAACATGATACAAAATATGATACGAAAATATAAATTAATACCTCTATAAATAAATGAATTATGATAAAACAATTATAATCAAATTTTATATTTTGACATCGACTTATACATTCTTTTTCTCAATTTTAAAAGCCTTTATGTTAGATATCTGTTTTTCTTTTCTTTCTTTTACATTTTGAGATAATTATAATTTTTAATTTTTTTATTTTTATCTAATATAAACGTATTTTTTATTTTATTTATAGATTAGATGTGTATAAAACTAGTACCATTAATAAAATAGCTGATTGAGTTTAGTGTTATTCAATTAAATGATATCAATAAATTTTGTTATAAAACTCAATTGATAAATCGTTATAAAACTCAAATTATACTGTATTAAATATATAAAAATAGATATAAAATTTAAAATTAATTTTGTTTTGAAAATGCTTAAATATTTATTTTAATTCTTTGCTATTTATTTAATTAAAAAAATTATATGTATAAAAATTTTTAAATATACAAATTTTAAATATTAATTTTAATAACATATCAAATTATTCAAAGAACGATCGATTGAAAATATTCAAACACAAGCAACGACTTTTTTCTTTTTTTTTTTTTCACTTACACACCAGTCAGTCGATAAAACTTAAAATCTAGGTTAAATAATAAAATCAAATAATAAAATAAAAACAAAAAATTACTTCTTCAAAATTACTCATTTACCCCTGAATGTTGTCTAGTTATCTTTCAAAATTTTTTTCTCTTTACTGCACAACGTTGGTGTGTTTGTTTGGACGACTACAATTAATTATTCACAATGATTGTAATGAATCTAAATAAAACCGGGAAATTTTCACTGTTCTTTTAGGAGATTTCCCTTTCTAATAATCCCTTTATTTCTTTAAATAATTAAAATATTGGTTAGTACTTAGTATTTTCTTTCCGGTAACTCGTCGGATTTTGCTTCTCTTCTTTACTCGAAATCGAAGAAAACAAAAATCCTTTCTTCAGTAGCTTTTTTTTTTTTTTTTTGTGTTTCTTGTTCGAGAGTTGATTTCCTCTTTAGGTGTTTGTCTCAGTGGGGGCTTTATCCAGAGCAACAACAGGAGAAGATGAATGCCCCAATTATTGGTAAGACATCTTCTCTCTCTTTTTTTTTTCCATTAAATTTTCTAGTTTTTTAGGTTTTCTGCTGATTAATGTAAAAAAATGGGTTTTTTGTTGGAAGATCCACTCCAGGGAGATTTTCCGGAGGTGATAGAAGAGTATTTGGAGCATGGGGTTATGAAATGCATTGCCTTTAATCGCCGTGGTACCCTTCTCGCTGGTACCTCTCTCACTCTCTTTTACTATCTCAAAAAAAAATAAAAATTGCAGCCATGAATGATGAGTGTCTTTCACTTTGAAGAGCTGGTTTTTGTTCTTATTTTCAAATGGGAGAGTTTTTCCTAGAGAATTGAGCTACTTTGAATTGCAAAATAGGTTTTTTATTATTATTATTGAACAAATTTGAAGGGAAGAAGAAGAAGAAGAAGAAAAAGCAAAACCCAATAGATATTTATCAATAGCTTCACGCAGTTTGAGGAAGAAAAAGAAGAAAATCCCATAAAATGCCATATCTTTTCCTCATGTGTGATTTGGTTTAAACAGTATTTACTTTTTTTCACTACTTTTTCTGGGTTTTCTTTTAATTTGTTTGCTGTTTTCTATACTTAAGTTGAAGAAAATCTCGCAGTGTTTGAAATTATTTCCCAACTGATAGATGGTTCTGGTTTTTGAATTCTATACCAGCTGGATGCTCTGATGGAAGTTGTGTTATCTGGGATTTTGAGACCAGGGGCATTGCTAAGGAGCTTAGAGATAGAGATTGTGTTGCTGCTATAACAAGTGTCTGCTGGTCAAAGTATGGTCATAGAATTCTTGTGTCTGCTGCTGATAAGTCATTAACACTTTGGGATGTTCTCAGTGGCGAGAAGGTTACACGTATTGTTCTGCAACAAACCCCTCTACAAGCTCGTCTACATCCTGGTTCTTCAATGCCATCTGTCTGCTTAGCTTGCCCCTTATCATCTGCTCCAATGATTGTTGACTTAAACACTGGAAGTACAACTGCACTCCCAGTCACTGTTCCTGATATGGGAAATGGTGTTGCTCCTCCTTCTCGCTACAAGTTCCCTGATGGAACCCCTTTCACACTGACCGCCGCATGCTTTAATAAGAATGGGGATCTGGTATATGTGGGAAACTCCAAAGGTGAAATACTTATAATAGATCACAAAAATGTTAAAGTACTTGCTATGATTCCCATTTCTGGTGGTGCTGTGATCAAGAACATTGTTTTCAGCAGAAATGGGCAGTATCTCCTTGCAAGTTCAAATGATCGAATTATCAGGATTTATGAAAATCTTCTGCCTTTGAAAGATGGACTTGCAGCTTTTGATGACCTTAGCAAGACTATTGAAGAGGAAGATACTGTTGAGAAGATGAAGGCTGTTGGGTCCAAATCTTTAGTTCTTTTTCGAGAGTTTCAAGATTTAATCACTAAGATGCATTGGAAAGCACCTTGTTTCAGTGGTGATGGTGAGTGGGTAATAGCTGCTTCTGCTAGCAAAGGAGAGCACAAGATCTACATATGGGATAGGGCTGGTCATCTTGTAAAAATACTTGAAGGTCCGAAGGAAGCAGTGTTTGATTTAGCGTGGCATCCTGTCCACCCTATTATTGTCTCTGTTTCCCTGACTGGCTTGGTTTATATTTGGGCTAAAGACTACACTGAAAACTGGAGCGCATTTGCTCCTGACTTCAAAGAGCTTGAAGAAAATGAGGAGTATGTAGAACGAGAAGATGAATTTGATCTGGTGCCCGAAACTGAAAAGGTGACAGAAAGCAGAACATGTGCCTCAATCTTTTGATTAACCTTTTGTTTCTAAAATATCCTTATGGTTGTAGGTGAAAGAGTCAGATGCCAATGAAGATGATGAAGTTGATATTGTGAATGTGGAAAAGGATCCATTCAGTGATTCAGATATGTCACAAGAAGAATTATGCTTCTTGCCAGCCATTCCTTGTCCTGATGTTTCCGAGCAGCACGACAAGTGTGTGGGAAGTTCTTCAAAGTTGATCGATAGTAATCATTCTGGATCTCCTCTTTCGGAAGAGAATGGACAGAATGGACAAGCAGCCAACAATGCCTCAAGTCCACTTGAAGGTAAAGTCGTGCATCTCAAATACATTCTAAATGTTTCATGGTTCTTTCAGTCCAGTTTAAGAGGAATAATATGCTAGCAACATAAATCAGTGAAGTTCGTGGGTCCTTAATTTGTAAAATAGGTTGCAATAAATGAGTTTAAAACCCATGAGCTGTAGCCCAATCTCTCCGGTACTCGTAAAGGTAGCAGTGGTGATGCCAATGTTGTGGAAAATGAGAACTACAAACTTTTGGTTTTGATATGTAATTCTTATGTGTGGATTATGCTTAACACCATTATCTCCTACAACATCTAAATCTGTATAATGTAAAAAAGTGGTCTAATAAGCCACTTAGCCATTTGTGCTGAATTTTAAGTTATTTGGATGGATAGAGGGTTCTGGTAGAGTTTTTAGATTCAAATTTTGTTGTTATTCTCTTATACAAGAATTTTTTTTGTTTTACTTCTATTTTATCATTTATATTTGAAATGTATTGAACTTTTTTAAAAAAACTGTGTCATCTATTACAATTTCATAATTCTTCATATATTATTTCTTAATTTCACTAACCTTTTCTTGATTCTTTGTTTTAGTAATTAGTTAAAAATGACAAAATATTAAATTAATTTTTAATAACAATTAGTTATGCTATCTAGGAAAATATTATACAAGTGAGCATTAATACTGTTATTAACTGGAAAAATTTCTAGTTATACACATGCATATTCCTAGTAACGTGGACTCTACACAATTATTTTTTTTCTTATTTCATTTAAATTTTGTAATGGTGTTGTTATTTTTTAAACGGAAATAGAGGCAATTGTGATGCAAGTAATAAGAAATGGTATGAGCGTTAAGGAAGTAGATGAAAATGTTGTTTTTGATAGAAATGAGTGGTGCAAGAAGATTCAAAATTACAACCTAACATGATTCTTTTTTTTGACCTTTTATACAGCTGATCCCAGAGTTATGAGATATAAGCCCTAGTTTATTGTTGTTGTTGTTGTACATAGAAGCAACTGTCTACTAAAAAGTTCTTATTGTTTTCTGGTGTAATATCACTAATAAGCAATTTCATGTGTCAGTAAAAGCCTATTGTGATAAATGTAAATGTTAGCAATTACAAAGGGGAATTCAAATATTTACCTTTGTTATTGAGTCAGGTCAGGATGCTGGTATTTTGTCTTAACTTAGATTTACTTGGTGTGTTCTCCCCTTAACAATCTGAAGATGATTATTGTCAAATGCAACCAATTTTAACCAAAGCTTCATTGGATTGGTGGGTTGGCATGGTTCTGACAGAATGTTTGGCCTGATAAAATTTCAAGCTGCTGCAATTTAGTGTAGAAAACACCATGATATTATAGAAACAGTGAGTGAACAAAATGGATCTTTTTGAAGATAAGAAAGAAAAGTAGAATGGAATCTTAAGGAAATTGATGCATTATGAGTCAGTTCCTTTTGAACTAGACATTATTTTGACTGAATCTTTCCACATTATGCAATACCTTTAAACAAAGAGATGGGGTTTTGGTGAGCATCTCTGGCAAGTAGGTCAAGTTAACTTATGTGGCTCTGCAAATGAAATGACTTTTGCTGGATGGCTAAGGTTGTTTTTGTATGCAATATGTAGGAGGAGTCAAAATTGATTTCAGTTGTCTCATTTAGGAGATTTTGGCAATATGTTTTATGATTAAACAGCGATAAAGCAATTTTTTTAGTTTTTATTTCTTAGTTTCAAGCACTGTTTATCTTCTGATGTTATTAAAATTATGAGAATGTTATTGCAAATGATAACATAAATTGAAAATCTATTTCTCTAGATTTTCATAAAAAAGCTCAAGATAATTTATAAGCAAATCTTTGCAGTTTGGGGAAAAAAATGCTTAATCCACTGTCTGTACTTTGAGTTGGATCTAGATGGCATTGACTGGAAATTTAAATATCCATATAAACTTTTAGCATCTTAGTCTTATGTCAGATTGTTGATGTTCTATGTTGGCTTCCCAAATGGACGATGACTTATGTGTTTAAATTGTTCATTCTTTCAGAGGACACAGGAGGAACACGATTGAAAAGAAAGCGGAAACCTTCAAAGAAGGGGTTGGAGTTACAGGAAGAGAAGGTCAGGAAGCCCTTGAAACCCTTGAAATCTTCTAGTAAGTTATCAAAAACAAAAAATAAATCTGTTGTTGATCAGGATTATGGCAATGATGTATATGTGGGTGATGGCTCTGATGATTGCTAATAGATCAGAATTGTCATATATTTGTTTAAACTGGTGAAGGAAAAAGGAAAAAGTGAGAGAGAATGAGAAAACCTGCAGCTGAACAGCTTAGAGCTATTTATCAAATTTCTTTTGGAGGAATTGGCAAATGAGATTATTATCTATAGATGCATATCTAACCTAGTTAAATGACTAAATTCTCCACAGAGCATCGATAATTCTTGTTTTAGGCAATATCAGACATTGTTAGGGTAACGGGTCAATTGTATATCTAAACACCAACATATATGGTGGTGGCTATTTGTCTTGTCACTTGTTTAGTATATATAACTTTTAACAAACAGTCTGGATTTTTAGTAATTTTAAATAGGTCGTATTCACGTCATCCTAAACTTTGCAATTCGTGTATTCATGTTGTGTAAAACACTGGTAATTCATGTATTTATGTTGTGTTTTTCATGAAAATTGCATCTCATAATTTGTGTCAATATGAAAAATATGAAATACAATTTTTAGTTTTTGTTAAAATTTTAAATTGTCACCTTTATTTATTTTTTTTTTTGTATTATTTTTGTATCGTATTTTAAAATGTTTGGTCTACAACATCCAAAGATTACTGTGGCATATTGATATTTTGAGGGATTTTGAATAAATATCTTTCTCCTAAAAGTCTTACAGGATACTGATTTTGGAAAAAGGTGATCAAAATGTTGGGAACTCACAACTTTACAGCCCAAATTTTAATTAAAAACTTTCATGTGGAAATCTCTTGGAATAATGATGTGTGTTTAAATATCATGTAGATATTGGAATATGCCTACCATTTCCTTGTTCTCAAATGGTCTTTCTATTCTTAGATATTCTTTCACTGCTTTATGTCTACATCATAATGGTGTGTTGTAATTTTGGTAATTCATATTTTCATGTCGTGTCTGTTTCATGTTTGCAAAACTTGTGTTAAATTTGTGTTGATATGTTAAATGCAAAATACATTTTTGACTTTTTTCAAAGTCATATACAATTTCTATTAAACTTTTAAACTGTATTGTTTTTGTGTGTGTTTTTATATAATTATTGTATTGTATTTAAAATTAGCAGGTGAGGTGCATAACTCTTACTGGTCTTGAAATTAAATTACTTTTGTTGAATACTTGTATCTTTGCATTACCAAATAGGAAGACCCAAGGCCTGCTCTTTGGCCTTAGAGAGTAGATGAGATAGGTGAGGCATTGATTTTGCATCCTTTTGTACTAATAAATGACAAATATTCAAACATTTGTCCCTAACTTCTGCATCTTCAGGACATTGTTCATAAATCTTCCTAAATGAACTTCTAAGTTCAAAATTTATTTACTTTTAGCAGCATAAGGTGCTTATGCAGATGCAATAGAATTTAGAATCTCTTACTCTTTTGATCTCATTTTTTGGTTCATCTTTTCTTTTGGGTTATTTCAAAATTATGTTTTTTTTTTTTTTTAACATTTAAAACTCTTACTTTTTTATATTTTAAAATTATTTTTTATGATTTTTTTACTCTTTGACATTAAAAATCAGGAAACATTAATTTTATAAAAAAATTAAAATTTAATATTAAATACATTAAAATCAAACTTTTTTCTTAAATTCTATAAAAATCAATAACACACAGAATTTGGGATGTAAGAAGTATTAATCTCAAGTATACTCCAATATCTTAGTAGGAATGGATTCTCTAGGACTGAAAAGAGTGAAAAGTTCCATTGCTTTTATTGTAACAAGATACATGAAAAGTTGTGAAAAGTTTCAAAACATTTCAAAACATTTGTTCATGAGAAGATTTTTAGGAGTGAGAATGATTTGTAAGATTTTTAGGTATAATTTTCAAAAACTTTTAAGCATGATTGAAAACTTTTTAAAATAATTTGAAAATTTATGTAAGTATTCTAATATTTTAAAATTAAATTTAAAGAAAAATATTTTTATTAATAAAATAATAATTTGGATCAATCTCAAGTTTACATTAAAACCAAATATCCTAACAATAATAAATATAAAATTAATGATATATTAAATACTTATGCCATTGTACTTTTTTTCACTTAAAACTAGATGTAGGCAAAGTAATAAGCAATTATATTATTTAAATAAATATTAAAAGGAGAAAATTACAGATATTTGAAAATGTGAAATAGAGAAATTTTGTAATATTTTAAAATGGAAAAAGGTGAAGACATTGTTTAAAAGGAAGTGAATTTAATATATTTTAAAAAAAGTGATACACTGAAATAATCTCACTAATTTATGCTCTATTGTTAGTTTTTTACCATCAATTTATGTTTTATTACTATATAAAGATTTTTTTTTTTTTTTGCTTTTATCAAAATTTCAATTGAGCTGATATCATTTGACTCGTGACATCAAGTTAAGAAGTTACTTTAATTAATATTAGAATTTGGCAGACCAACTATGTGCTTGTAAACATAATGTTTTAAAAAAAAAGTTACTTTTGAAAAGAATAATATGTGAAAAAAGATGCTAGGTTTTTTTAACTGGATAGATTTATGTATTTTTTAATTTTAATTTTTTATAATAAATATTATTTGATTTTTATATCAATTCTTCAATTGAGTTAGTGTCATTTTTTAGTTGTGACGCGAATTTAATCAGGAATTTTATAATAGTACTAATTTTATGCACAGCCACTCAAGAGTTAAATAAATAATTAAATAATTTAAAAATTAATTAAAAATAAAAATTAATCATTTTTAAATATAAAAAGAGCAAAGTAACCTGTACAATTTTGTTCAATGGAGAAAAAATAGAGAGAAGTTAGTTAAAAATACGATTCAAGTTCTATTTTCATGATTTAAAAAAAAAACTTTATTTTCAAAAAAAGCTAAATTACTAAATAATCTTTATTAATACATATTTTATTTTATATATTAATTTTATTTATTTTTTCCGACAGAGATGATGTAATTTGACTTATCATACCAACTTAGTAAAAATTTTTATAATTAGTTTAAAAAATTCATTTAAAATAGTACCCATTTTCTTTTCATAAAAAATAACTTCTAGTTTCCTTTTAAAAACATTTTTTTTTTCTAAAACACCCACATAGTGATATGCAAATTCTAATTAAAATCTCAAAAAAATTTTTAAATGAATATTTTAATATTTTAAAAATATTTTATATTAAAATGAAGAGTTAATTATTAATATAATCTTATTAATACATATTGTTTATTTTATAATTTGAATTTTATGTATTTTTTCCAATTGAATTAGTGTAACTTGATTGGTGACATTAAACAAAAATCATAGTTATTAATTTTGTTTCGCTCATATCGATTGATATGTTTTTATTAGGTTAAAATACGATACATCTAAAAATAATTTTTTGTATCGAATTTGATATCGAGTAATATCAATTGTTTTCATTGGTTTCGATTAGTTTCAGTGAATTTTTGTTAATTAACTTTCTTCAGCTTATACGTGAATGTGAAATATATTTTATAATTCTTAATTTATCTTTTATTGTTTGATAATTTTTAACCTAAAAAAATAAAATTAATTGGTAAAATAACTCTTAAAAGTTGAATTTCTCCTTTTTTTTTTTTTAATTATAACTTGTTTTCTTTTATACTTTATTTTTTTCAAATTAAAATTTAGAATTATTTCAATTTCTTTTCAAGAAAGCAATTGCGCTCCATTTATAAAGTTTAACAATTATGAAACAAAGGTTAATTTTTTTTAATTTTTGTCTTAATATTTGTATAAAACAATATTTAAATATTATATAATCATATTAAGTGTTAAAAATATCATAAAAATTTTATTATATTATTTCTTATACTTTTAAACTTATTTATTTGATTTTTGAAGATCTTGCATATTTATTTTGTAAATTATTAATAAATTATAATATACAAGTTCATATATAATTTATACTAAATCAAAAATTCGAAATAATATATCAAAATAACTAATACTGACATATACTATATTTTTAAAGAAAATCAAAATGTTATTCGAAATGATTTTAACGACCTTGGTAAAATCTTTTATTATTAATTTCAAAATCCATTTAAAAAAATTACTCATTTTAGTTCTAAAAAACCAACTTCTACTTTCCTTTGAAAAACATCCTTTTTTTTTAAAGCACCCTTTTGGTAATGGGCAAATTCTAATTAAAATATCAGAGAATATTTTAAAGTAATATTTTAATATTTTTTAAACATATTTTATAATTCAAATTAAAAGTTAATTACCAATTTGATAAGTAAATTATAATAAAATTTACAAATTAATATTTCAAAAAACATATAATTTACATCATGAATTTTTTAATAACCAAATCTTAATAAACTTAGTTCATGTTTGATGCACACGATAATGGATAAAATAGTATAATAATCATTTTATAGTATATTTGATTTGTATCTGATTGAAATAGATAGGATTATAAGAAAGATTATCAATTTCTTGATATATGATGATTTAATCCTCCCAAAGTAAAGAATTATTTTTAATTCGTGGAATTAAACTTACATGTTTTATTATATTCTTAAAAATTATATTAATAATTTAAATTGTATAAATTTTGATGAAAAATAATTTTGACCAATAAATAAATTATCATATTTTAATATTTATACATATCAAACATAAGATAAGATGATATTATTTAATATAATCTTAATCTAACCTTCCCATGACATTTGGCCAATATAATCACCTCATATACATGTGAAGAATTAAATATAAATGTTAAATATTTTCTAAAATTTATGATACGTCCAACAAATGATTGTCTCTTAGTAAGATATTGATAATCCTAGAGGAAAAAAGAAAATGTAACTTTTTAAACTAATGTTGAAAATGATATTTATACATAAATTGATTTGAAAAGGATATTTATAGTTATGTACGGGAGAATTCTCAATTGAATGATTGTCAATCTCATTTTAAAATTCAATTTGAGCTTATGTTTTTCTTATATACTTTTAACATATTTTCTTAATTATTTGTTAATTAATATGTATATTTTGTCACTTTAAAATTGTTTTTATTTTTTAAATAAAAAATTGTTTTGATTCTTATTTCTTTGTTCAAATGTGAATGTGTTGAGCTATTTGTGAGGGATAAAATCATGAAATTACAACAAAAAAATAAAAGAGAGCGTTTAACAATAAAGGTTAGGGTGGTTCCAGTGTTTATGTTTTGATGCTTAAGTTAATGATCGGTCTAGAAAATGAATGAAAAAGGAGAAAGCAATAAATAAGGAAAAGCTAAATGGTTGAAAGGTACTTAGAAGGTGCTATTTATACTTGTAAGGTGGGGGTCACGAGCAGTTTAGACTATCCAAGGTCAACTTTAAGGGCTAGAAATGACTTAATAGGCCTGAGTTGACCTGTCAATTGATTTTCCATTCAGGGTGGGCTAAATCAGCACCTTAGGGGTTTA